CACACAGACACTGCACACACAGACACTGCACACACAGCCACTGCACAGCCACTGCACACACAGACACTGCACACAGCCACTGCACACACACACTGCACACACAGCCAGTACTGAGATGATCCCAGCTTTCTGTTTCTTCTAACTTTGGGCAGTTTCTGGGCGGTGGAGCGAGGGCGTGCCGCCATGCCTTTTCCATGGGGTTGGGGGTGGAACCCAGGGCTTTTTGCATGCCTGGTCAGCCTCTGCCTGCTGGTGAATCTGTCCTCCCCCTCTTACTCAACACACTCCATCATGGCTCCCTCCCTGCACTCCTCGTTCCTCTCCACCTCCCTCAGCCACATCGTCTCTGCCAGTCACCAGAAAACAAGCAGGCTCCTAAGGGACAGTAACAAAGTACAGTAAATAAAACAGAAACACGTGAGAATGGGACAAACCAAAGGGAAGGAAAAGAGCCCACGAGAAGACACAAGAACCAGAGCGCCACTCGTTCACACACTCGTTCAAGCCCCATAAAAAACCTCAACCGGGAGCCATCCTGTCCGCAGAGGACCCCGTGCAGGCAGGGGCACGGCCCAAGCTCACAGGTGCTCGGACAGTGCTGACGTGGAGGCCTGTTCCCATGGTGGCCTCCGCGCCCTCTGCCTCTCACACCGTCCGCCTCCTCGGCTGCAGGGCTGAGCCCTGGGGGGTGGGGGTGGATGTGGGCACCTCCAGTTTTAATTAGGCCACTGTCGAGTGTGACCTGCAGCTCAGCTCCTCCCCCAAGGTGGTCCTGCACCGGAGCCTCACTCACGCTGGTCTTCCTGCCAGGGTGGCTCAGACCTCCCGCAGGCATCCGTCTGGATGCAGGGACAGCAAACCAGAGCATCTCCCTTTTAACGCAGGGACAGCAAACCAGAGCATCTCCCTTTTAACGCAGCTGCAGCCCGAGCTGTGATCGCGGCTCACTAGGCACCGACTCCAAGTCCTGCCTGTGCTGCCGCGTCTGAACGGGCGCGCACATGTGCCAGTCTGTGCGATGTGGTGCGCAGCCTGGCTCTGCCACCCCGCCCCGAGCCCCTGCTACAGCGTGTGCGGACGGAAGGCACGTCAGGGCCGCCCTCCGTGGACACCAGTCCCAACGGGCAGAGACCAGGCCACCCACCGCTCCCATGCCCTTCCCGGAGGGTGGGGATGAGTGGGCAGAGGAGTCTGCAGCTTCCCGGAAGCCTGTCCACCTGCCGGGGAGCCTGGGGCCTCCAGCACCGCCGCAGAAGCCAGCTGCCTCCACACAAGCTCACCTTCTTCAGAGACAGGAAAATGACGTTCACGCCACTGGGCATGACGGGCTGGCTGTGATGTAAGAGGGAGTCCCCCACATCCTACCCCGTCATCCTACCCCATCATCCTACCCCATCCTACCCCACCATCCTACCCCATCCTACCCCATCATCCTACCCCTTCCTACCCCACCATCCTACCCACCATCCTACCCCATCATCCTACCCCACCATCCTACCCCACCATCCTACCCCACCATCCTACCCACCATCCTACCCCACCATCCTACCCCATCCTACCCCGTCCTACCCACTGCTCCCCTCGAGAGCAGACCCACAGAAGACTAGGCAGACTCACTTCAGAATTTACTCAAGTCACATGCACAACTGCACAGGGAAGCAGACAGAAGCCCTGAGCACACGACACAGTGGGCGGCTCATGGCCTCCGGGCGCTGGGTGAACCTGACACGGGGGTGGGGGTATACCGGGACGCCGCCAAGGGTGGTGGGCTGAGCTGCTGCTTCAGGGCTGGCTCCTCTGCAGGGAGGACACGATGTCTGGCAAGAGGATGTTCCTGTTCTCCTTGGTGACCTGAGGGAAAGAACAAGCTCAGAGCTCCTCCTCACTCCCATCCTTCAGGCCGGCATTTCCTGGAGGGCTGCTCTCAGGGTCACCAAGCCCACAGGAGTGCGTGGGGAGGCCCAGGGGCTGGGCTGCAGCCGAGGGCAGGTTACTCACATTGTAAACCTTCACATCACACCGGTGCTCAATCTCCTCCACTACGGCCAGCGGCTTCCCTTTGGGGACCGGGAAGGTGCCCAGGACCACAGTGCCCGGCGTGGACAGTACCCGGCGGACTGCCTGGATGAAAGGCTGGCTGAATAGCTCCATCCTCCCGACCTCGTCGATGACGCACACCTTGTGCCCGGAGGCACGGCCAGAACCAGCCTGCAGGCAAAAGGCGGGCTGCTGTGATGGCAGAGTGCGTGACCCCAGCCAGGCGCCTGCCCTGGCCATTACTGCCAGCAGGGTGGCGGGCAGCCGGGCTGTGCCCGACAGATCAGCCTGCACACTCGTGAGACAGGCATCTATAAGGCTCCCAGAGAAGCTTCCCTGCCCTGACTGTCTTCTTCCAGAACGGTCCAGTGGTAACCAGGCTCCCTACTTACACACTCAAGAAATAAAGCTTGGGAACTAGTGAAGGAGAGGCCATAAGGAAGCAGGGCCATGCTGGGAGCTCACGGCTCCGATTTCTAGTTCTGGGCTGTGGCTCTAACGCCCAAGGAGGGAGGTGACAGCTGCAGGCTCGGCCTGCGTACTCCGATCTGGCCTGAAAGTGACAGGAAGCCATGAAGTTAGAGAGAGAAGAGTCTGCTTGAAGGAGAAGGTGGTCAGAGCAACGGCAGCTCACTCGCTGAGCAGCTGAGCATGCCCTGAACTATGACTTTATGAGAATAACCCGGCGGGTGGGGGAGGGTGGCGGAGGACGAAAAGGACCAAATGCACTATGTGCACGCATGGAACTGCCAAAGAAAATCAGTTTAAATGGAACCACAGAGACAGAATGGAAGCTACTCAGAGATAATCGCTGTTGTCCCATCGTCTGTGTATGGATATAATCACATCTGTGTTTTTATACAGCAAGCACGAGGACCCAAGTTCAATTCCTAGCACCCATGTAACAGGCGGGCAGGACCCTGCACGTCTGTGTCCATCTCCAAGGGGGACGAAGGCAGAGTGACCCCTGGAAGTTGCTAGTGGCCATCCTTGGTGGAAAGACATGAGCTCTACATGAACAAAAGGCCGAGCACGAAAAGAAATAGGACAGAGCAGCAGGAAGGACACACCAACACTTTCCTCTGGCCTCCCAGAGTAGCACACACCCAACACATGTAAACATACAAGCTCCTTACGCAGGCGTGCACGTATCTCATATATACACAAAATACACGAGTGAATGACTGAACAGTAGGAATGTTCTAAAAAGAGGAAGTAACTCTCGGGCCCTCTGGACTCGTCCTCAGTTCTGCCTTCACTGCGGTGCTGCAGGGAGGTGGACACAAGAGCCCAGGGCGCCTGGTGTTAATGCAGCTCACACCCAGTGTGTGAGTGTGTGTGTGTGTGTGTGTGTGTGTGTGTGTGTGTACGGCCACCAGCAGCCGGTGACTCTGAAACACTGCCAATCTCACAGGTTCTCTTTCTAGAACCAATCCACTACAACTGAGCCAACGTGCTGCCACCCAGGGACGGCGGATTGTGGTGGGCACCTTCCCCAAGCCAGCACGTGTGAGCCAGAAGGGCTGTTTGGCTTGTGCCTGGCAACTTGGACACGGGGCACTTAAAACCTTGTTTACCTGAGTGCAGTAAACACACGCGGCAGGGCGGGGCGTGTAACCGCACGTGGCCCTGCATGGACGCACACATGTGCAGTGCAAAGGCCCCTGCAGCTCCCCGAAGCATTCACAGAGGCGAACCGGTGCTTGCACCCGCAGGTGCAGTGTCTGCTGCTCACCATAAACCCAAACTTTCTAACACCCTCATCCTGCCCAGGACTTCAGGAACTGTAAAAAGCAGTGTTTAATGAAGGTGGAAGTGAGCCACATGCCACAGACACAGGGGCTGGAGGTCAGGACACGGGGAGCAGCCACAAGCTGCCGCTCCCTCAACAACTCAACAGGGTGTGCGGAAGAGTGGAGAAGAGGCGTCATTACAGCCGTTGCTGCTTCCACACACGTCCACACCAGCCCAGGAGGAGCAACAAAGAGGTCAGCGGAGGCTCACCCTGTGGACCTAACCCAGATTCTGAGCTCCTGCCTCAGCACCAGGCCGAGTGTGAGGACAGCAGCTCCAGGCTGCTCACTCCTAGGCCTCCCTGAGCAGCTGAGACTGGCTAGTGCCACAGCGGCCACGGAGGTCACATGGGCTGGGGCACGTCTGTGGCCTCGTGTACCACAGCCGTCCTGCACCACATTGGCCAGAGCTCCAGCTGATCACAAGTTCTCATGGTGGTCACATGGGCTGGGGCATGTCTGTGGCCTCGTGTACCACAGCCGTCCTGCACCGCATTGGCCAGAGCTCCAGCTGATCACAAGTTCTCAGCCAGGAGAAGAAAGCCTAAGAAAAGAGACGCTGCCTGTGTCCCAGAGCTGGCTGCCCGGGGCCCAGGGGCTGTGGCCAGCCATCAGCTCTGGCGACACACACCACCCTGCCTTCTGAAAAGATGAAATGGACTCACTGTAAGAGAACAGCGTTCCATAGTTCAAAGAGCGGCTGGCTTTGCTGCTGTGACTCTTTGTTTTATCTTAAGGACTTTAAAATCACGAAGCTTGTTTGCTTGCCTTGGAACTCACCGTGTAGCCCAGGCTAGCTTCCAACTCACACATCTACCTGCCTTTGCCTCCAAAGTGCCGAATCAGAGGTATGCCTGGCTTTTTAGGTAAACGAGTCCTTGAACCAAGAATGAAGGAATATAGCCCCCTTCAGAATGGCCCTGATCTTATCCAAACTGTTCACCCAAGAAATCTTCCTCCTAAGGCACTGTTCACTGATTTTAGTACCACACAGCCTGGCCTGAGTTACTCTGCATCAGGGAGGAACAAGGTGGCAGCCCAGTCCCCAGGGCACTCAAGCTAGGACTGGAAAGTCAGAAAAATGACAAAAGCAGCAGCCAGAGCCACAGCTTGGGAAGCCTGTGCACGCGCATGCACACACACACATTAGACACACATACACACACATACACACTCGGCTGGCCAGGAAAAGGCATCCAGGCTGCCTCAGGGCCCTTCCTCACTGAAGCTGCTCCTGCGTGAGCAACATGGTGGAGGCAGCCAGGGGGAGGCTGTGCCGGATACCTACTGGCCCTCATGCCCCGAGGCCCTCAGGACCAGACTGAAGCGGGTGGCACCCTGGAGTCTCCTCCCCTGCCCAGCCCACTCGCTAACAGACACGCTCTTCCAGTGTGGACACAGCTGCTTTGCCCTGCTCCTGGCTGTCACAGCCGGTGTGCACTTCTGACAGTGTGATCAGAGCTGAGGTCACACTCATTTGCCGCTGAAACTCCTTTACACATCTGCACACCTCCTCCTGGCCTGAGGCACAAGCTGTGTCTGAGCAGTGGCTCTCACCATCACAAGGCCACTGTCATGCCCAAAGGACAGCACCAGGGTTCCCAGAGAGCCAGAGGGGCCGGAACCACGAATAAAGGCGGCTCACAGTCACAAGGGACACCACCTGAGTGTGCGAAATGACACCATCTCCCAGCACTGCAGGGAGCACACAGCGCACAGCCAGCTGGTCAGGAGGCCCGAGCACAGCTCAGGGCCACTGTGCTCACAGATCTGTGCCCAGAGCGAGGCAGGCTCTAATTCCTGCCACATCCAGTGCTCACAACCACCAGATGGTCCCTAAATGTTGCACACACCTGGGGAAAAAACCAATCAATATTTCAACTTCTGATGAACATTGAGATCTCTGCTGCCTGGCTCCATCTTCTTCACAGCCTAGGGAGCAGATAAGAGGTTTTCCTACAGTGAAGTGGTGCTGACCTGCTTTCTGAATGACAAGGTGACTGGATGCAGGCAGTGTCCATCAGATCTGGAGGAAGCCACCTCGGGGCTGGAAACTCAGCCTTCCCAGAGCGCTGGCTTCCCAAGAATCGCTGTGCGGAGACATGGGCAAATCTGCTTGCCAAGTGGGGGCCCCAGAAGAGATTATTCTAATCCTCAGATGATGAAGTTTACAGAAACCTGACAAGAAGGCCACGGCCATAGGGAGTGCCGCCCTGCTCAGGGGACACCATGAAGATGTCACAAGCACATGCTGTAGGGCCTGGAGAGCCGACCTGGGGCTACGGGGCTGAGGAATCTTTTCACCAACAGCCTTTCAAAGACTTTGAAAGTGTTTGCACTCCACCAGATGGCTTTTTGTTTCCATGGCCAACTCTGTGACACAGGTGCTATGAGATACAAAGCCAAAATGTGGAAGCCAGAAACCAACGCCACGGTCAGCAAGCTGGGAAGGTGGGAAGATCACCAGCCTCCAGGAAAGGAGTCAACTGGGCCCTGGCAGTTCTGGCTCCTTCCAGACTCCACAGCTCTGTGGCCTGAAAGACCAAGCAGCACTTCCTGTGTATGCCACACACACACACACACACACACACACACACACACACACACACAGGCACAAATACACACACTCACTCACTCATAACTTTAAATTAAAAATTAAAATCTTTTTAAAAAATAACACAATTAATTAGCTAGGCACCTACACTAGAATCAGAAAGGTCAGTGAAAGAGAAGAGGTAACCCCAAATCACCATACACATACTTTAAAGAATAATTTACAAAGTATAAACTAATTAGACACGGGCTTTTAGCAAATGGCTTTAGTAAACTGGCCAAGAATCTGGAAGAAACTAATTAAGAGTGTCAACGCATGCTATATCCAAAACAAACCCAGATGGATTAAAAACGCATTTGAACAAACTCACAGAAAAACAAGAACACAGGTAACATGCTGCTAGTTTGGATCAGGACACAGTGTTTCTGTGTTAAGGAAAGAAAGAAAAAAAAAAAAAAGGAAGGGAAAGAAAGTATCAATATGAAGAACAGAGATAGAATCAGCAAGTTAAAGGTCATTTGCCCTAAGTATGATCTGGTCAGGACTGGAGAGAGCTCAGCCGCTGAGAACACTAGCTGCTGCAGAGGGCCTGTGTCCCAGCACAGGGTCCACCTCTGCCACTGAAGGGGACTAGACAACTCTTTTATCCGGCACACAGGCACACAAGCAGGCAACACACCCCGACAGGAAGCGTGAAGAGAAGGCTGAACCAACCGTCAGACTCCAGGACACGCAACACATTACTGGAACTATGCATTTCCGCCATCCTTTCCTGCAAACCAGAGTGATGTTCTGCTGCCCGTGGGCACAGCCGTCAGCACCGCAGCAGAGCAGCAACTAAACTGTTTCCCGCACAGGCGGGTGCCGGGACACGGGGCCCAGGAGCCCCCAGACCAACCCTTTCACCCGCCTTCCCTTGGAGGTGGTAGGACACAGACATGGCGTGACTTCCAGGAGGAATGAGCCAATGTCCACACAGGCCAAACACAGCAGCCACAGGGCGCAGTGGTGTTCTGCCCACGCCCAGGTCCACGGCCTGAGTTATGGCCACAGTCATCATGGAAACACGCGTGACTGTGCAGCTACAAGCAGTTTCTATTTCCTTACAAACAAGAGGCAGTCACTGTCCTGGTCAGCACCTATAGGAGCTCTACGTAAGCCTGAGCAGATACCAGGCACGGCATCAGTCCCCTCCCGGGACTCTGTTTACCTGAGCAAAACTCAATTCCTGATGTGGATCCAACACTCACAGCTAGACACTCAGAATGTCAGCAGACACTTCCCACTGCTGTGTGAACTCGAGAGGGAGGCGTGCACCCGAGGGAGACAAGCATGCTCTTCTGGTGCCTGGCTGCCAGCGACAGGGCAGCCCCGAAATGGGGAGAAGTTCCCAGAGGAGCTGAGGGCAGGTGGGAGGGGTCGGAGGAGCAGCAGCCCCGCACAACACAGACAGAGGACCCCAGGAGCACAGCCCACGGCAGCAAGCTCTGTGCACATGAGCAGAGAGACCCAGCTCTGCACTGGAGTCTTCCTAAGATGAGACACTTTGACACGCTCTAGGCCCCTCGGAGCGACAATAATTAGGGTGCTACCCTTAGCAAGGTCAATGGCTAAAGCTCAACGGCTGTGGGACACAACTTGACCACAGGGAGAAACAACAAACACTGTGTCCCCCTGGCCAACAGCCCCACGATGCGCAGGGGCCAGCGGGACGCACTCACGTTTCTTAGGGCCGGCAGCGCCAGCTGCTCAAAGGAAGCCAGGTCCACCAGGTACTGCCCCACTCGGTACTCGTGCTTCCCGGATGGAATCTGTGGGCTGAAAGAAAGGCCCTGTTGGGTGGAGGATCCCCACTGACTGCTGGGCCTGGGCTGCTCTGCGGATCCACCAGCAGAAGGTGGGAGGGTTGGACCCTCTGGGCTTTCTCTCCTGACACCCGGCCCGCTGGAGCTGAATGTCAGTACCACTCCTGCCAAATTCAGCCTTTCAGTGCGCCAGGGACACCCCAATGAGCCACACATACAGCACAAGCGCCAAGCTGGCTGCCTGTCACCAACCCAACTCAGCCGGAGGCTGAGGCAGGCAGGGGCCGTTGGACATGGTGGCACACACCTGTAACCCCAGCACTAGGAGGCAGAGGCAATCGGATCTCTGTGTTCCAGGCCAGCTGGGGTTATACAGCAAAACCTTGTATCGAAATAAAACAAAACTAAGATTAAGACTAAACAGAGGGCTAGCGATACAGCTTAGTGATGGAGGCCTGCCCCATGCCAGCTCCAGCCTCTCTGAGATTCTCGGTCTCAGGGGACAACGGCAGAGGGTGACAGACAGGACAGGGCACCAGGTGTCCCCCTTTGACCTCTGCACAGACACAGCAACACACACATGTACACTCACACAAAGAGAAGATACGCTCCCAAGACATGGACGGGCCAGGCTAGAGACAAAACCCCGCAGACACAAAACAGCAGTACCAAACTCTGGACAGGGGCCCTCGAGCACCAGACATCGTGACCACGTCAAATCCAATCCTCCTCCCTCCCTGTATGACTTCTTGGGTGTAAAATCCATCCACAGGGACCCCGGATGACTGCAGGGCCTCGCTGGCTTTCTGGACCAAGGTTGTTTTGCCAACTCCTGAAAAAGACCAAGAAGGGCACAGGTCAGGAAGCATTTCCTGCCGCTAAGAGCAGGTGCTGTGAAGGAGGCAGGTTGAAATGGGTTTTGTGACTGTTAGCTGCACTGCCACTCTGATTACTTCAGCTGTGAGAAACGTGCAGCGGAGTCGGCAGAGCGGTGCCAGAGCAGCGTGAAGCTCACTGCTAACAGTCCCAGGGTGCATCTGGAATCCAGCTTCATTTCCTCCCAGATTTACACCCTGTTCTCTGTCAAGTGTGAAGTGTCTGCCCGGCCACTCACGTGTCTGACCAGGAAGAGATACTAGGCGCAGAGGCTGTGAAGCCTCTAGGGCAGGAAGCCAGGCTGATAAAGGTGGGCCTGACGGTGGGCCAGAGGGTTGATTTTAGGAAAAGAGTGCCTGTGTGCCCTCCGAAGGCATGGTCTAGAACAGTGAAGAACAGCAGCCAAGCTCACGTCTACAATGGACCTGGGACTGTCACGTTCCTAACACTTGGCTTCTGTTCTTACACTCAGCAGGCAGCACTTTTATTATGCAGAAAGGCATGCTTATGGACTAGCAAGATGGCTCCTGAGATAAAGGCCTGAGAGATGCATGGTGGAGGAGAGAACCACCTCCCCAAAGCCATCCTGATGGCCTCGCCTGCACACTCACATATGTAAATAAATAAAAGTAATTTTTAAACAGCATATTTGCATTTTCAAAAAGTCGACACACACCTGCCCAGCAGAGGCTGCTGCCTCACAGGGACCTAGTATTGCAAACAGCCGAGCAAAGCGGCCCCCAGGAAGCCCGTGGGGCAGGCCCCTTCCGCTTCTTGGCTTAGGCTGAGGGCTCCAGTGACCTGAGCTCCCTGAGATGTTGGGCAGTATCTAGGAAGGGGTGCTGACTGAAGAGGGCGCTTTCTGTCAAAGGTCTCCTTATCTTGCTGGAGGTCTGTGCGGAGGGACTTGGAAATCGTTCGGGATAATTAGTGATACGCAAACCAGTACACCGGACCGCGAGGGACTAGTGAGATCCCCGGGGTGGGGCGGGAGAGCGTGCAAATACAGGACGGACAGCATTCCCTGGCTCTCCTGGGGACGGGGGGCGGGGAGCGTGGGTCTCGTGTTCGCTAAACCCCTCACGAGCGACGGTTCCCGGGAGCTCCCGGCGGGAAGCTGGGGACCCACTTGCTCCGGATTTCAGGCGCAGGGCGTGCTGAGCGAGGCCGGGCCTCCTCCCACGGCGCTCCGCCCCTGCGCGCGGCCTGGGCCTGCTGGAAGGCCTGCGGAGTCCGCGGGGACGGTCGTTCACCGGGGCCGGAGGCCGCGCTCCGGGGCCGACTCCGCCCCCCCCCCCCCCCACCGGCTGAAGCCCCTGCCGGACCCGCCGCCCCGGTCACCTGGGGGCCCGGTGAGGAACAGGTGCCGCGCCATGCCCGTGGGCGCCGCGGGGCGGGGACGCCGGGCGCTCCGGGTCGGCCTGGCCCGCCCGGCTACAACCCTTACGCTGAGGCCACGCCCCTGCGGGAGAAAGCCCCGCCCCGCGGCCGCGCATGCGCTCCCCGCCCCCAGCGCCCACGCAGAGCGCATGCGCGTTACGCCTGCACGGTCTGGAGCTAAGTCTCTGGGGGGCCCTGTGCTCCCGTGTGCCACACTCCCGCGAGGTGTGTGCAAGGATGCGTGCTGTTGCTGCTTCAGGTACCCTGGGTTCTGTCCCCCCGGGCTGCAAGTCGGCTCCTGTGTAGCAGCAGGAAGCCTTCCTGTAGGGGCAGACCTCGGTGGGATTCGAACCCGTCGACCGCTCACCTGAAGAACGGCCAGCTGGGGAAGGGTTAACCTTGCCTTACCCTGGCCTCCACCTCCAGAGAAGCTTGTCTGCGATAGGGTCACGGGAGTCTAGCTTCAAGGTCTGAGGCAGCTTTTTATTGCCGCCTGGAAAGAGAACAAGCATCCGGCGGGCTGAGAAAGCAGAACCAAGAACGGAAGGGGGCTTCTCTTGGCCAAGCCCTTCCCGGGCCGTGGTTGAGCTAGAGCTCCCTGGCTGTGTTCACCCTGCTGGCCGGACTCTCCTGCTTTGGGGGAGCCACGCTGGTGTTCCCAAAGCTCAGGCTGGTGACTTAGCGTTAGTCACTCCATTCTGGGATGGTCCAGCGCCGCAGCCTGCCTCCCGTAGACCGCCGCCAGGTCTAAGCTGAGCACAGCTTGCTGGCAGGGCCTCTCCCAGCAGCTTTCTGCCCACCGAGGCAGGTAGACTTGTGATCAGCCGAGCTCCAACCTGGCTGGGAAGGCAGGATCTGGGAACCCTCGCCTTACCTGGCATATTTTACACACACAGACACACTTTTGCACCGCCTTCAGCGGGTGATATATGCCAATCTAACAGCTCAGTTTCCTGCTGTTTAAAAAGAAATCACCTAAAAAAGCCTGGCGCGCTACCCCGGCCCCACCGGCACAGCGTCACTCACTGCCCATGCGCCGTGACTGCGTGTTACTCTCCCAGCGGGCACCCTGCCTCCCGAGTCTTGCACCTGCACCTGCACCCATACTGGAGTCTGGAACAGCTGAGGTAGGTGGAGTAAACCCACAGGAGAATCACACACAAAGAAAACACTTGTGTAGCCCTGAATGCCGCTGTGTCCCCAGTACTCATTTTAACATTAATCTTCCCAATCCAGCACTGGCCAGCGCTCTGGAACTGTAGGGCTTGCTGGGAGTCGGCTGTCCTTGTTCCTTGTGAGGTCAGTAGCTCAGAGACGTCGATCACATGGGGATGGTTTCCGTGCAGAGCTGCTGTTCCCCAGTGCTCCCTGACGCTGCCATCCCTCTTTTAACACAGAATGTTTAAGTAACCTAGGCCAGCCTCAAACTTGAGCATCTCCTGCCTCAGCTCCCTCTGTGCTGGGATTATGGACATTCGCCACCCAGCCAGCTGGAGTTTCTTTATCCATTAAAAGAACATGGCGTTGTCACTTGCAATGCGCGCTCACTATATGATAATCCAGCGCGCGAACTCTTACTCTGAGGTTTCCACCAACAACGTAGTTCAAATGTTTAGTATATTAACGCCAAAGGAAAGGGTCACAGCAAGCAAGTGCCAGGCTGAGTTCAAGCCTGGTTATCTTCCTGTGTGTGTGTGTGTGTTAGAGCATTTGTGATTGTGTAGTTGTGTGTCTAGAAGCCACAGGACAAGCTCAGGTGTCCCTTAGGAACCGTCGACCCTGTTCTTGGCGCAGTCTCTCACTGGCCAGGAGCTGGCCAAGGAGGGGATCTTCCTGTCTGCTTCCCCAGTCTTGGGGTTACATGTACACACCACTGCATCTGACCTTTTCAACAAGGGTTCTGGGAGACTGAAGCCCAGGCATTGTGGGTACGACACCTGACACCCTTTGTTATCCTCTCTAGTCAGGGTGCTGTGGAAAGAGTGTGCGCCATCCCCAAGAGACCTTTGAACTGCCTACCACAGACAGTCTGTGACGGCACCAAGAGACGCTGGGGAGGGAGGGGGCGAGTGAGGGAAGTTTCCGGAGTCTGCTCAGTTGGAAACCTCCCACTGAGGCAGGCCGACTTCCATTCACGGGGAATCCAGACTGAACAGAAAAGGCTGTCAGTGGAGCACCCGAACTCACACTCCCTGTGCCCAGGAGTGTGGGGAGGTGTGTTTGCCGCTGCTGCCATAATGACCTGGCTCCATGTTAGAGCAGCCTGGGATGAGACAGTCAGGAATGAGGCCATTCCGGAAGTCCTGCCCACCTCTCCTGGAGACTCCTCTGGCGGAAAGCACATGGTCCAGCTCTTTTCTGAAGCAATGGGTGAGCACCTCGGGGTCTGGAAGACGCAGCTACTCTGATTCTCTTATCTCCTGTTGCTCAAGATGTTTTGGTCCCTCAATCTCATGAAAACCAGCAGGAACCAAGGGACTCCCTCCAGCCTCGTGGAAAATGGGAAGTGAGCCGAGATGTTCCTAGAGAAGTAGGAAGGACAAGTGAATTGAGCAAGGAGAGGGGCCTGGAGCCAGCCTCCATGTGGCTTCTGCGAGAGAAAGGACAGTGTGTCGGATCCCAGCTCCAAGGCAGCCCCCTTGGTGGTTTGTGAGCTATCCTCGTGGCCTCTGATGAATGGGAGTCAGAATCCCTGCTGGAGCCGGAGAAGAGGCTGGCTGAGGTGTCCCTCCCCCTGCAGCCTCCTTCCCCCCAACGTCTGCCTCCCCCATCCCTCCTCTCTTCCTCCTGTCCTTCCCTTCTCTCTTTCTCTCTCTATTCCTCCCCCTTCCCTTCCTTTCCTTGTCACTCTTCCCTTCCTTACTGCCTCCATACCTCCCTTCAGTTTCTTCCCCCACCCCATTTCCGCCAGATTTTATGATAGTCAGGATCTGATGTACATTTGAAGTAGATTCTGTGTTGAGAGAAACATGCTCTCTCTCTCTCACACACACACACATTCTTTTATACACAAGGTCTGAATTGTGAAGGAAAAATACAAGTAGACAGTGCTTTTCCATTCAAAATTAAAATGCCTTTACTTGTGTTGGGTGGGACATTTCCCTGCCACCTCTTCAGGCCAGGTGCTTTATTGAATAAACTGATGGTGAGGGAGCCGGCATCACAGTCCAGCCTCCGGCCTTTGAACCCTCTCACACATGTAACCAGCAGCCGTTGCTGGCGTCCATATGGAGCTCAGTGAGGCTCAGTTCAAAGAGCTCTGTAAATTGTAGAGACTTTGTACACAGGGAGGGGAAGGGCCTGCCCAGGGCTGCACCTTTTGGGCCACACCCATCCGTGGAGACACAGACTCTTCTCATGAAAATGTCCCTCACCCATCTATGTCTTTTCTCGTTGCTGGGACAGAATGCCCGACCAAAGCAATCTGAAGAGGAAGGGTTCACCATCAGCAGAAGTTCAGCATGGCAGGAAGGCACGGCGACAGAACCAGGTGGCAGCCAGGGAGCGGCAAGAGACGGGTGCCAGTGCTCAGATCATGACCCGCCTTTCCTCTGTGCAGTCTGCGACCCTGGCCCACCATACAGTGCCATGCCCAGTCAGGGGAGGGCTTCCCAGCTTACTGACCCAATCTAGAGACTCCTCACATCATCCCCAGAGCCCTGTCCCGCAGCTTTTCTGAAGGCCATCAAGCTGACAGTCAAGATTGCCCCCAACGCTGTCCTCAGCGTTGTACAAGCTACAGACTGCAGGTGCCATGCAACCGCAGGTGCTGTAGTGAGGGGTGCTTGCTCCTGTGAGGGTGGGGTGGGTGGAGCTGCCAGTCAGGGGTGGTGGACAGCAGCTGCAGACTGCTGTGCTGGGGCAAGATGCCAGGCAAACTTGCTTTCTGCTGAGCACTGCGCCAACACCACAATAAAGCCGGAAACTGTAAGCTGAAACATCTTCAGTCAGGGGCCTCTGTAATATATGTGTGCTCATGTATAATGATTGGATGGATGGATGGATGGATGGATGGATGGATGGATGGATGGACGGATCTATAGGTAGATAGAGGATCTTCTGCATATCTGTATCCCATGGCAATGAAGCAAGACCGTGCTTCAAAAGGGGGGTGGGTGAAGGAAGGAGGGACAGGGTAAGAGGAAGGAAGGAAAGAAGAAATGAAGGAAGGAAAGGGAGGGAAATGAACAGAAGTTCTGCTGTCTTTGCTGTGATGAAACACTCTGACAAAAGCTCCCGGGGTGTAGGGGGTTATTTAGCTTATTCTTTTAGATCACAGTCTACTGTTAAGGGAAGGGTGGAACTCAAGGCAGGGAACTCAAGGCAGGCCAGCTTGCTATTCGATACAGCATTGCTGCAAACAGGGAACTCAAAGCCAAGGAAGGACGGCAGGAGCCACGGGGGGAACGCTGCTTGCTGGGTCGTGAAGGCTCCAGCTTACCTAGTCTTCTTAGACACCCCTAGAGAGGGCACCTGTGAAGGGATGGCCCCGCCCACAGTGGGCTGGGCGACAGTCAAGACCACAGTCATGCCCACAGGCTAGACTGATTTCCAGAACTCTTCAATCCAGGCTTTCCTCTTGGGTAACTTGAGGCTGTGCCAAGTTGGCAGGTAAAACTAACTGCTGCAGAGGGAAAAGGGAGGGAGGAGGGAGGGAGGAAAAGAGGGAGGGGAACAAAGGAGAGGCATCTGCGGTGTGATGGCTGGAAGGAGAATGGCTCCCCTAGCCTCACAGTGAATGCTTAGGGGGTGGCATTAGGAGCTGTGTCTTGTTGGAGTTGGTGTGGCTTCCCTGGAGGAAGTGTGTCACTAGGGGTGAGCTTTGGGGTTTCAGATACACGAGCCAGGCCAGTGGCACTTCCTGCTGCCTGCCAGTCCAGACGTAGAACTCTCAGCTCCTCCTCCAGCACCTGTCTGCCTCAGCGTTGCCACACTTCCTGCCATGATGGTAATGGACTACACCTTTGAACTGTAGGCCAGCCCTGATTAAATTCCTTTACAGGCACCACTCTGGCCATGCTGTCCCTTCACAGCATAGAACCATGACTGAGACCCTATGGTTTGTCAGCTTCTCCGTTCCTGGAAGTCATGCTGTGGGGCCTCCACAGCAGTGCTGAGCTTGCTGCTCCCTGTCCTGTATTGCCTCTCAGGGACTCTAGCCAGGGCCAGCTAGTGTCCACTGCCCTTCTCTGGTGTGTTGAGAAGCAAGATGGAGAGTTTAGTCTACCTTCAGAGGCACCTTCCTCTTCCTCTTCCTCCTTCTCCCTTTCCTCCTCCTCGTCTCCACAGAACACAAAGCGTCTGCTTCTTCTTCCTGGTTCAGCCGTCTGCTCTAGCACACGTCTTTCAGCTTTTCACAACACTGTGAAATAGTGTCGTGACCACTGGACTTTGGCTTCTGCTAACCAGCATCCTCACCCCTCTTGTGTTTGGAAATTTGTCTACCTTGGGCATAACGTAAAGTGCAGACTTCCCTCTTCTATGCCAGATGTCATAATTCTGGCCAGAGCAGAGACAGAGGGAACCAGGTCCCTTATAACTGCGGAGCCACCAAATCTCACTCATCCAGTCAGCCTGGCCTCTGGGCACAGGAAGTGACAGTGTCTCAGCATCACTGAATCCATTTGCAATCAGAGGTGGAAAAAAAACAAACCCAGTCTTAAAGAACAGGACATTATACATGCCACGTGATTACAACTGCATTAAAATAAAATTAGATGAAAACATCTGCATGAAAATAATTGGGAAAAGGTAATTTGAAATGTTAACAGAGGTGGGATAATTGATGGAAGGCACCTTAATTTCAGCACTATAACTTTATATCTAGTGCTTTCCAAATTATTTGTGGTACTTTTGAAAATATGCCATCCCACTGCCGCACAGCAAACATGCCAGGCTATGGGGTGTGGGCACAGCAAAGGACAGAGGCACTCCTCAGTGTGTCACAGCAGGCCTGTCTGCACACATGACTTGACTGGACTTCCTCGCAGTGTATGAGGGCAGTGCTTTGCTGGAACTGTTGTGCTGTCTTGGAGTCCATCACAGGCTGGCTTAGTGGCCATGGCCGAGCCAAGTGGCCAGCTTTATGGATGTTTCAGCAGTGAGCCAGGGACACCACTGTGACGCC